TGGTTCCTCTTTACTGTTTCCTACTGGGGACACCGTCAGCTTTCTATCCAACCAGTCCCATCGAAACGTGTTTTTCAGATCCGCACCTATCTGACGCACTTTAGCTTCGTCGCGAGTCTCGATAACATTCGGCATTCGCGAGAAAGGAGTTTAGGAAGGCGAACGCGGATTGGTTGTGATTTGCATTTGCCGATAAAGCGACCAATCACAACCAAGTCAGACATCATACACGTCCAATCGCAGGGCTGTTTACAATCGGAAGATGGAAAGACTGATCGGGAGAGCTCGTGAAAACTCGACGATAAGGTACCTGACCCCCCTAAAATTTTCTCAACGGATTTAGACGATTCACAAAAATAATCAATTTAAGAAATAAAACGGCGGATTTACGCGTATCCGCGGAAAATTGCCATCCCTGCGACGGGCTCTGCTGCAGGGCCCGGAGTCAGACCAACATCAACTAAGGGTTGCACAGCTCAAGCGGCGATCAGTCACGGTTCAGAATTGGAGCCATCACGCTCACGACTGGAGCATCACCAAAATGAGGTCGGCCCTAATTAAGACAAAAAGAAAAAGTTAATTTTCCAGCTCGCTGTCTCAAGTGGTGAAACGTGTGATGTTATGAGTCGTCAACTTCAGTTTTTGGCCCTTGGAAGCCGACAACCAGCTAGACAATGAAGTCTTGGCTGAGGTCCATCACTCCGGCTTTGCTGATTCAAATCAATGACAAGCCTCCAATATGGTTCTCTCCAATCCATTTTCAAGTGCCCTGCCTGAAATTTCTGCCATGACCTCCGATTTCCTCACCGAGCCTCCTCCCAAGACCATTGCACACGCCGACCGCTTGGAGTTGCACCCATCCGAGCAGCAGCAGCCAGCCGCCTACACTGACACCGTCAGTGGCCTTTCCTCACGTCTGCTACTCGGGCCGAAGCGGATGGCCGGGAAGACAGAACCAATTCCGCTTGCCTCGCTCTTTCAGCTGCGCTCTGCCGGAAACGGAAACTAGCCAGAGCGTGGCGGCATTTGCCAGCTCATTGGAACTGTTTGTCAAGAACTTTGAGCACTGCACGCCAGACATCACTTTGGGGGGGCCCAAGGAAACGTACCACATCGATTGTTTCCGAGCCGGCAGCCACCAGTGCACGGCCACTGGCCTCGTCTTCGTCGTGGACGGACAAGGGGACGTCCGTTACAGCGTGGTCTCCTGGGACATGGACCTCCTGGCCTCCCACTGCAAGAAGCCCGCAGGTATGCAAAGAAACTTATTTCATAGACTTCATGTCTATCAACTACTACGAATTTTGGCCTCACCAGTACAACGATTCAGCACACTCGTAGACCCACTGGACTCAAGTGGCTCGAGGGAAAGCTTTGTCAGCATTCATTCCATAAACTTGATTAGCAAGCTACTAGTGAATGACACGTTACTAGTGCAGCAGTCATTTACGAGTAGAGTTAAATTACACATCAGTAGGCCAAAAGCGCCACTGGTAGTGGGGGAAAAAAGTACCGTATTTTCCACGCTAAAAGGCCCACTGGATTATGAGGCACACCTTCAATGAATGGCCTTTTCTGTAATTTTTTTCATATATTGGGCGCACTGCGTTATAAGACGCAATCTACAAGGCCTCCAATAGATGGAGCTACGCTCAAGGAAATGCCAACAGAACGATCAGCTGTCAATAAAACATATTTAATCAAGCAGCGATACAGTTCACTTAAGTAACAGCAAGTTATAACATTGACTCGTTTACGTTGAACTCTCTTGCCGCTGCTCTATTTCCATGTTCAACTGCGTAACCGATCGCCTTAAGTTTGAACTCTGCATTTAAGCATGTTAGTTAGTTAGTTAGTTAGTTAGTTAGTTAGTTAGTTAGTTAGTTAGTTAGTTAGTTAGTTAGTTAGTTAGTTAGTTAGTTAGTTAGTTAATTAGTTAGTTAGTTAGTTAGTTAGTTAGTTAGTTAGTTAGTTAGTTAGTTAGTTAGTTAGTTAGTTAGTTAGTTAGTTAGTTAGTTAGTTAGTTAGTTAGTTAGTTAGTTAGTTAGTTAGTTAGTTAGTTAGTTAGTTAGTTAGTTAGTTAGTTAGTTAGTTA